GTAGTTCGAAAGAATTATAAAATCAATCAACGTTCCTCTATACGAGGTCCAACCCAACCACAGAGAAACTTAACTATCTGACTTAATCTTTCACAACATTTCAGCTTCGTTTACCTCAGCGAAAATCCCTGACATGAAAAACATCTGAGACGGAGAGCGCCGATTAATAAAGCGTAAAGAAAACAAAAAAAAATCTTGACTAATAATGTTTTACCTTCAAGGATGATGTACTGAGAAAGACTGGTCAGGAACCATGCGGCAGAAAGATGAAGAAACCGAGAGTCAGACGACTCCAACCGATATACAACCTCGCAAATAAAACAGAACTTCTCTTATTACGATCGATCTAGTCGAAACAATCTTGGGCGAGTCAAAGAAGAAATATTGATAGCCCAAGGGCGTGTTGTGGATTTCGACCAATCAAAACATCAGAATGACAAAAGCTGTCAAAATAATGTCCAGATCAGCTGTATGCAAATTACAATATTTTCATCGGAAGCTTGCCAGCCAAGTTTTAGAGCTTAAAAAAACATATTTAACTTCCAACTTTTTCTCCTTCGCTAGCAGACATCGTGGAAGTTCTACTGTTGCATTTTTCTTCCAAACGCGTCGCTGTGGGTCTGGAAAGATATATTCCCACGCTGTTTCGATCTTTGATGGAAAGAACTAAAAGAAGGTAAGTTAGGCTACATAACTTCGTCACCTGTCATTCTGTTTATAAAAGTTGCTGAGGTAAAGAGAACTGCAAATTCTAATTTTTTTCTTCTGTGACGCTGTGCATTATATTTTAATCCATGTTCAATATCGATAAAAAATGAGTCAGCCAAATCATGCAAGTACAATGTACTGTGCCTGGCACTATACAAATTGTATTGATTTTCTGAACGATCGGATTGATCACACAAAAGTCGAGATATTGTCGCACCCGTTTCTGTTCACTTCAAGCGAGCAAAAAAGAAAAAAAAAACATTAAAATCCATTTGGAAATTCACTGTGATGAGCAGCATCGGAACAATTTTCTGCTTCATAATATAAGCTTTAGATGAAGAGCAGGTTATTGATTGCACTTGTGTTAAGTAATGATTCCTAACTAATTAGAGATGTTCGTATAGTAAGCGTTAAAGTATAAAATTAAAACGAAAAAATGTGGCTCCCACAACGTATTTATTTCATGGCGATTCTCGCCCACCCCCTTCATTCACAGCCTGTGAGCAGAGTTCCGAGGTGGAAACTCTGTTTATGGGGTAATCCAACCATATATACGTGCAATTTTTTTGTGAGAAAAATGATTTTTTTTTGTTCAGTTGAGTTCAAGACCTATATTGAATTTTCAACGGAGAGTCACTTGCTCTCAAGGAAAGATTGACCTAATTATAATCAGTGGCAATATTTGCGAAAAATAAATTCAAGATTAATAAATATTATGATTTTATTTGGCTCAGGTACCTTGTTTAGAGGGTACATGGGTCATGAGGTAATGCTCCAATGTGTCCCATCCTCCACCAATACGTACCAACATGTGATCATTCAGCATCTACAGTGGATATACAGATATTAAAAAGTAACAATATCTATAGATCAAAGCATGATAAAAAAAACTGTGTGCCCTGTGTTCTGCAGACCATATGGCGCAAATGGGAGCTGGGAAACTAGAGAGAAAATAAGTACATAGTATGCATCAAAATTTCTTTCCCATCTCCACTCCACCTGCTATTCCTCCTTATCTGATGAACCTTAAATAGCAGCCAATTTATAAAAAAAAAAACTAAAACTGGTAAAATAGGGTACACTACACACATGTTAAATAATGTAATATCCAAGAGACTGATTAAAGTGCTTTAAGACCCTTAAACGTTTTTTTTCTAGAATTTAACAGTTCCAGTCTCCATAATGATCATCTTGGTGCACAGGCAGGGATGAATACCTCTTACTCTGGTAAATATACCAGTCCATATTTACCACATAGATGGGTAATGAAAATAAGACTAAGATGTTGTATTGAACAGTAGCTATATTTTTATTCTAATTTCTATGCCTTCTAAAGGTAAGCAGAGAGATGGGAACTCATTTTATAAAGACCAAAGTTCTACTCTCAAAATGAGTAAAACAGCAAAATATAGAGAACCTTTTGTTAAAAAAACCATTAGTAAAACTGCTATAAACTCCCCCCCCCCCCTGCCCCTACCAAAAAAGCCCCCTGTTCCCTCTGATATCAAGCTGTCTTAGCACATTATGGTCAGAGAATTTTAAAATTTTCATTTTGATGACTTATTCTGTCTTTCTCCTCAGACTGAAATTGTATATGGCACTACTCAATATCTCCCCAACCCTTCACCTTTCAAACTGCCCCCAGGGTTCATCACAGGACATTTATAGCTGGTATCAATGCTTACCCTAACAAACATGACTCGACCAAGAATTATGTATTTCCCTTCTTTTAGACGATGAACAATCTTTATGTTGTAGTCTTGAGCAATCTTGCACACCTACATCAATAATTGAGACAAAAAAGGATTTTAGGAGAAAGCATGGATAACCTAAAGGACAAACAAAATTTTTTGAGTGGTGGAGAAAGACTCAGTGGAACTTAATAAGGAAATAACCAAAAGCCCCCCAAGGAGGGTAACATAGTAACCAATAGATCTTTTGTAAAAACACAAGCTATGGATTCTGTTAATTATTCCCCCTCCCTCAAGTTACCTCCATATCTCACCCCACCCCTACAAGTGGAGATCATCTCTATATATTGAAATAATCTGCCAATAATTTAGGCAACTCTCCTGGTAATTTTAAATGCCCTATTTAATTTCAAAACGTTTTTGGATCTCGATTTAACACTTGGGTGGTACAAATAATATTGACGTTTTGGTTATTATGTTCAAACATAGATGCTCTCGACAATATATTGGATTCAACTACTATCATGCAAATAAAATTATTTTCTTAATTAGAAAGCTATCATTTGACAGTCGCATTTTTAAGAAATACAAGAAATTGTTTCAGGGACATGTTATAATGTACATAAAGGCTAACATCATTTTTATGGGGATCAATAAAAGGTTTCGCCTTTGCGAGATCCATTTCTCAAAATGAGCGTTGATTTTTTTTCTTTTGGTATTGAATTGATTTTCTCTAGAAGGGAAATAAAGTGCATTGCAGAAATGGTTAAGTTAATTTCAGAGCCATTAACTTTGCCAAAAGAACTTTTAACCTTGATATGACGTTATTATTCGTTTACCGTTTTGTAAAAAGCCTCCCGGCTGTTTACAGGCGACAGATGTTCCTAATTGGCCAAAAAGTGCACGATGCTAAAATTAATTTTATTTTAGTATCAATATAAAACCTATTACTGGCATAAAGCTGAACAATTTTTACAGCTTACAACTAATTATTTCCGTAATCCAATTTATTCTGAGAAATGTGGAGTTTTCGCCCGCTAAAATGCTGCATTTAAGACGAGACGTGAGGCGAAAGGTGATATGTTGTTGTTACCCGTTATCAATCCATCGGCATAAGTTGAGTAATATTTGCATAATTCGTGGACAGATGAATGAACATGTAATATTGATAAAACTGTGCTCCTAAATTTTTATTTAAGTTCTTGCCTCAAAAAATATTTTTCTTCAATATTGTGACACCAATTGGTAGTATGTATATATGAAATTCAACCCTCCTAACTAAATAAACTGTGCTGAATATTCTGCAAACACTTTCTTGAAGTTTCATCCATGGCATCGTTAATTAGAAGTACTTCAAATTTTGTTAACATGAAATTTAACGAAAAATAGGCGTAACAACTTACCTGTTTATCTAATTCGGATTTTGGTTCCGTGCTCTCCAGTAGAGAAGGCAGTTCTTTTGTCTTTGGCCGAGTCTTTGGAGTACTTTTTTGATCTTTTGGTTTCGGTGGAGTTTGTTTTCTTGTCACGGCTGTGGTTTTCTTTATTTCCTCGGGTTCTTCCACAGAAAATTCCGTAAGGCGGGAAGCCGAATTTTCCCCTTCTTCTTGATCAAACACGGAGTCAACCCCAGAATCTGAGTCCAGTGAGCTAGGGCTTTGAATTTCTGGCTGATCTGTTTGCTGAACTTCAAGGTTGTCAATTTCAGTCATGTTGTTTATTTTCTCCACGTCCAACACTTGCCCTTGTCCGTTAGTTAATTCCATATCACTGTGTGCCTCGTCCTCTTCGATTTCTTTCTCCATTTGAATTAACTGCGGCAGCTCATCGAGATCAAACTTTGATGTCCTTCTAACAATCTCCATTAGGCAAATGATTACACCTCTGCAGCCCTCTCTGTAATCATCAACCTCCACCACATCGTTCGATTCGAACAGTATGGCTTCGGGAATACCGTGACTTCGACACCATGTGAGAAACTGTTGCACATTTTCCCGGGAGCGAAATAGTTTGATCTCTCTACCACACTTACTCATGGTGTGATAGCGAAATTTCCTCCCAGGCACGGGAACGTTTTGCTCCCGAGAGTACAACTCCGCTTTCTCTTGTATGTAGTTCGCAAGTCGACAGAGTAACGATCCATCTTCTAAAGCGTAGAAGAAAAACTCCGGAGAGATAACCACGTCGGGAAATAACTTGGCTAACCACTCGCTTTCGTCCTCCATCATGGCGTAAAGGAGCTCGTTCTCTTTTTCCCATCGCTTTACACTTTGTATGCTGTTAGTTTTGAGCCTTCGAAAGTTGGCCCTGTTTCGAGGAGTTACAGTGACCGCGACTTCTTGCGTCGCTGAAATCATCGTTGGTACTGTCTGATTTCCGGTAACCCTCTTGAAAATTTGTTCAAATCACCATAATACCTTGTTCTTTAGATCTACGGCGATCCTTGCTCTGTTGCGTCGTTACTCCATCATCGTAGTTTTAAACCTGTTCGATGGAACTGATCTTTCAAGACGACCACTCAGCGATGTTCATTTCGATTGTTGCATGTGAAATAGCAATTCCGATTTGCCTGTTAAATAATTCCCACAGACGAGAATATTAAATATTGTTTATGACAGCTAGGGTGACACGATGTTTTCTTTTCTGCTCAATTTCATGCACCGCAAACCCTGTTAATTCTCTCGAGAAAATTGCCAACAGGAAATATCAGGACAAAAATTCCAGCTAATAAACACTCCAAAAGCACAACCAATCTATTTATAGTCGTGCGATAGCTTGGCGTATATTGACTCAACACAATTAGCTACAATTTATTCAGTTGTTTTGTGGCGATAAAAGGTTTGGAATAATATCCTAATTTGAATAGCGTTAGAGTCGTTCGTTCCAAAGAATAGCCGACGACAAAAACATCAATCGATTCTATTGTTTCGTCGAAAACAAAAGTCGATCTCAGACGAAATTAGAACTTATCTGTTTCCAGAGGAAAGCCAGTCCAGTTTCTACTTCTGTTCGTCAGCGCTAAGAGACCACTGCCGTTTATAAAAATGTCAGGTATTCACGTCAAAACAAGACTTATTAAAGATGCATAGATGAGTGCTGATTTTGTTGTCCGAGAGATCGTTTGGCCTTGGACGTCTTACAACAGGAACCGTTCTATCTTGTAGCATTCAAAAAAGACACGATCATTCGCGACCCAGCAACCGGAAACAGCGGGTATTCCTTTTCGTAGACCGGAAATGGAACAAGCGGAAATGACGGTTGTATTGCAGAATCGTGTGATTTGGTCACACAGTGTACAGTTCTTTAACACAGTGTACAGTTCTTTATTTTCCTTGACATGTCAAATGACGGGTTAATTGTATTACGGCGTTACTTCTTTTATTTTTCAAGAGGGTAAATAAGACTTTTCAGTGTGTTAACTGATAAATGGGATTAATCTGTCATCAGAAGTGATCGATTCTTCGACTTATGCCTTCCTTTTCAGTTTGGGGATTTTCGCTCTGGAGCTGTCTGGAGCCATCTTATAGAGTCCTTATAGCGCCATCGTCTGCCACTGGTGCCTCGTGACTATCAGATTGAAATCACGCCAAGAGTTACACTGTCATGTTAGGGCCAGGCGAATCTCATCTTCTTTCCCATTTGTTGACAATTACATCATTACAAGTTTCTTTTTTTGTTATGATGATATCTAAGTATATGACATCACTCTGATCATACGAAATGAGATTCAAATGCTATATTCTAAAAAACGAAAACAGCGGACAAAAGTGAAAATTTCTACGGCTCGAAACCTCACGGATTTCGACCTTCATTTTCAACCAAGAGAAAATGAGGCCAAATTAAAAAAAATCGCTTTCAAAAGGCAATGATGGTAGGAAATTTTGATAAATGTGTGGGCATGAGTAAAGGTGTGGAAAGGAAAAAAGGTAAAACGATACCGACTTGGATTAGACAAAGAGGCAGCCTTGCGGTTGGAATATTCAGGCAAAGGAAATATGAAGCCAGGAAATACAAGGAAGAGACTTCATGACGTCACTAGTCGGACTGGAGATCGAGAGTGCGCGCCCGTGTGGTTGATATTGTACTACAGTTTTCGAAGCTTTTTTCCTTGTACGTCACTGTCGGCTTGAGGGACAACATCACGGTAGCTGAAACTGTCACGATTTGACTAGCCAACGACAATGCTATTTGGACTAAGTTTTGTATTTTGGCCCTCTAAACCCGAATCTTTTTGACTAACAAGGGATGCGTGACAAATAGAACCCACTAGGCTGTGTCCTGTGAGGTCTCATTTAGCATTAACAAAACACCAGATATTGTTCCAGTCACACTACTGAATTAATATCAGTGACGCCTTTGCTGTCGTTAAT